AGAGTCCCTTGGATTGCAAGGAGATCCAACCAGTCCATCCTAAAGATCAGTCCTGGGTGTTCATTGGAAGGACTGATGTTGAAGCTGAAACTCCAATATTTTGGCCACCTGATGTGAAAAGCTGACTCATTTGAAAAGATCCTGATGCTGGGAAAGATTGAGGGCAGGAGGAGAAGGGGATGACAGAGGATGAGATGGTTGGATGGTATCACCAACTCAATGGACATGATTTTGGGTAAACTCAGGGAGTTGGTGATGGACAGGGAGGCCTGGCATGCTGTGGTTCATGGGGTCGCAAAGAGTTGGACACGACTGAGCGACTGAACTGACTGACTGACTGAAACTGAACTAAGTTGTTCTTCACACACATGTGGAGATTGTGAGAAAGATATCTCTATTTGACATGAAGGAAAAACAAATAAGGGTTAAGTGTCTCATCCAAGTGTATACAGATAGTGACAGGCATCTTTCCACCACAAGGTACTGCATCCTCTAAATGAGAATAATTCCATTCTTTGTCTTTGGAGAAAAAAATTTTTCTTTTAGCTTCCAAACTGGCAAGAGCTATCTGGAACCCAAGAGGAGACTGGAAAAGCCATGCAGTTTCCAAGAGTCAGTTACAAAAAGTATCTTCTTTTGGACTGGCTATGGCTAAAGAAAGAACTTAGATTCCTCAGAAGAAATCACAGCTGACTTGTCCTTTCAATATTTTTCACTTTTTTGAAAAATAAAGATGCTGCTTAACTACAGGACTGGTTTTTTATATGGAGTTCAAAAGTGGCAAAAGGAAGCTTTATGTAGTAATTTTATTTGTTACTTCCAGTAATTTACAGCCTAGCATAATCAGCTCCTTAATCATTTTGGAAGGTTTTTCAGAAATGATTAATAGTATTAAAATATTTCATGAGTGTGTCTGTGTATCTGAGTATTCTCTCTCTCTGTTTCTCTTCCTCACCACTGTCCCTTTCCCTCCCCACACCAACAAGCACATACACAGAGAGTTTTCATTTTTGCAAGACTGTGGAAATGAGAACAGTTACTTCATCCCCCAAATAAACTTTTTAGGGGAAGGTGAGAATCGAAACTCTTTTGGTATTAATTTAATCTGTGGACTGTTGGGAAGGGATGCTTTCAGTGGGGTAAACCAGTTGTTTTATATCTTAAAAGAATGGTCTCTGTCACAAAAAAATGTTTTAGTTTAACAAATATTCTTCAAGATATAACACTGATGAATCTCTTATTTGCAATTCCACTGCATTTCACCTTTCATCATAACAGATACAAATGTTTCCATATTAATAAAGTAGGCAGGTAACTGAGTGTTAACTTGTTTCTGTCTTTTGCTGGGTATCAAGTCCATTTTTTGATTTAAAAAACACATAGATATTTGTTTGAAAGGCTCCAGGGAAATTGGTTAAGATAACCCTCTGGCTAACATTTTCCTGCATGTAATATTCATGTTAAAAGTCTCAATTAGAGTTCAGAAAATAAAACCTTTGGAATGCAATGTTTTTTCACAATTAACATTACAGAGTCTCTAGTAACCTTGAAAGGGGTAGAAAGATGTTACTTGCGTAATGAACTACATTCTGATTATGCTCATGTTTTGTGGTTAGATTCTAGTTGAATAATCACATGCATGCTATAAAGTATCAAGTAATAGATGTTCCTGTGAGTTAATATTTCCCTGCAAAATCATGATGCAGATTAAGAATCTTATCTCCTTTCCTAGATATTTTCTTTTCTTAGCAAAATTTTACTGTCCTTCTAGAAAAAATTTGCTAGGTCATTTATATTGCTAGGTAAATTTCATAAAAACATCTTGAATTTTCCAGGCTTTATAGTTTATAGTTTTTCTGTGTATTATTCCATTTCATTCCCTCAACTCCCTTTTCCAAATGAGAAAGTTCAGGCTCAGAGAAGTCTAATAATTTGTTAAAATTGTATAGATAGAATGTCTTATAGTTGGGTCTTCAACAGATTTTGTGTCTTCAAATTCAGTCATTTTTTTTCACTTATTTATATAAACATGTTTGTACCAAATTTTCCAGGATTTTCAAATCTTTCAGAGAAATTCTGAAATCATCCTATGTAGGGAGCTGCATCTTCTACCTATATGTCACTATGAAGATCACCTAAATATTTATTTTAAAACTGGATCAAAAGACATTAGCTATTTTTGGATTAATAGTTTCTTTTTTTGACTGAAGAATTCAGGCACATTTTAATACACATGATGCTGATTTTGTCAACATGTATTACTATCCAGTTTATAATCCTAATGTTTTAGAGAATTGTGATCTTTTTGAGGTACACCTAACCACACGTTAAGCTTATGTTCTACACTGAATTCATGGCGAAATATTTTAATAATTAAATCATTTTTGGTGGATGATTAGAGGATGTATATCATAGGAATTATGTAGGCTATTTAGAATGCATATTAATATTTTATTAAAATTATTTCTATTTTAAGAAAAAATTATTACTTTAAATATTTCAAAGAAAGATAACATTGAATATCCTCTTTATGAGGTGTGCATGTCTCATGATCAACAGGGGAAAAAAGAGCTCAAATTGTAAAAAACAAGAGTCTGTGGTGGAGATTCCAATACTTCCTCCCTGCTTTTCTTGGTTAAAACTTAACAGATCTGAAAACGATAAACTTACCCTGACATGTTCTACCTCTCACCACCTGGTATCCTTGGGGGCACATACACGAGAATTTCCCAGGTTCGTTTACACACTGATACTGACACAGGTAGCTCGAAGTTCTGCATTCATCAATGTCTGTTGAACCAGACAAAAGCAACAACATAGAGTTGAACACTTACATGTCATTATTTTGGTAATTTTTTAAAAAACATTGCAATCTCTGAAACAGAAATGCAATACTTTATAAGAGGCTCAAATGCAAGTTCTAACAATATCAGCTTATTTCTCATGGAACTTCACAGAGCAGAGAATTTTCTTACCATCAGTTTTACTCAATTACTGCTGACACTTTGGCAAATCCTGGAACTAACCATCCTAGCTGAGCAGACTGAAAGAAGTGGTTTGTGGTTGATGATCCTCGTGTTGTGCTTGGCAGACCCACCCTTGATGCAGATTCATATTTGCCTTCTCAGAAATTAGGTGGCTCTGCTTCCAAGTTCATCTGAGTTTTGAACTCCCAAGTTCCAACCCTGTGCAAGCTTCTAGAGGTTGATGCCCTGGCAGAAAGGATTTGCATTTCTTAATGGTGCTGTTCTTACAGTTTGCTCAGAAGGGCAGAGGCAGCCATCCAGAGCCAACCCCCTTTTGGTTTTGAGTGCAGAGGCATGATGGGAGGCCTCTCTGTGTAGGGTGTGATCTTTGTGGCCCCAAGTAAAGCTGGGACAGTTTGTGAGAAAGTCAAGAGTGTGAAGTGTCAATGGCATCCCCCTCAGGATGTCTTAGGCCATTTGAAGTACACAGTGGAGCGAGCATGTGCAGTGGACTCTGATGGTGATCCCTCTAGTTAAATGGCCCTCTTCTTGATCATGTGGAGAGTGAAACGAAGGCACCTTAAGAAATGTGCCCCGAGCATGCAGTGGCAGGGATGCCTAGGGGCCAGATCTTTTGGTTTCTATTCTAATGTTCCTGACATGCAATCAGCTACTTTTTGAACTTAAATATGCCACTAGTCCCCTGGAATTCTCATTAGACGCAGAATTTGATTCAGTAGGTCTGGGCTGGGGCGTGAGAGTCTACAATTTCACAGGCCCCTAGGAGGTGCCTATTCTGCTGGCCCATCACACTTGAGAAGCAAGACACTAGAGTACCCTTGCTAATTATAAGACCCAGCCTACATCTAGTATTTCAATTATTTTTTCTCCTTTCTTTTGATAACATACTAAAAAGACAGTGTTATAAGTGAACTAAGTTAACTGGATTTTAGAACATAATAAAAATTTGCTTTCTTAGACAGGTATATACTCGGATAAAGCAACAGCAAAAACAGGAACTGTGCTATTACTACCAATTATTTGGATGATATTTTACCTTCACAGTTGAGCCTGTCACTGCTTAGCTCATATCCTTGATTGCACTGACAGATGAATGAACCAAGAATGTTGTAGCATTGCTGAGCACATTGATTGCTGGCATCACATTCATTTATATCTGAAAGGCAAGGTCATACACATTTATATATTTATGACTTTAAACATAGCCTTGCTCTTTTGTACCTATGTCATCGGATGATAAGTGAGTAATTCCCTAGCTGGATTCTTTGCCTTGCAGAAGCTCACTGGAGAACATCCATTCAGGTCTCATATTTATTGGAACAACTTCAAACATCTGTCATGTACTTCTTTTAGAAATACCAGAATATTTTTTTTCCTGGGAATGACGGTTAGTTTGGTGTTTGATGAATCTTTCCAAAAGAATTTAATGATTCTAATAAATATACATTCCAGTATCTATTTTCTTTTATTGTTCAAATGCAAAATGCCAAGTCTATAAATAATTGATATAAGACACATACTGATATGGTCTCTCAGCATGCTGTAGTGAAGATTTATCTGTGCTATTTATTACTTTTTAAATGGGTCCTGTTAAATTCCATTACAATTATAACATAAGCCTTTGAGACCCATACAGAGTTTTGCAATGCTCTAAGGCACTGAAAATATTGTGAAAAGGCATTTTTCCTGCACTAGATTTTTTCCATGTCATGCCAATCTTAAAATTGTGTGCTGTGACATTGCATTCTGAAAGGGTAGCAGAAGCATGTGAAAATCAGATGCACTCTCAGCAGAAAGTTTATGTATCTGAACTTGTAGTAAACACTTTGGCACCTTCAGTGTTTGTATCACACACTGTTGACTAACTGGTGTGTGTATATCAATTGATCTATAGTTAAAACCTTTTTTTTTGGATACTGTCACAATGGAGAACTAAAACAAAAGTTAAAAATTTTTACCATTTACATCTTGATGTGTTTTTAGAAACCAGACTGGTTATTGTCTTTTCAGCTTTATGTGGGGAAGTTGATGGAAACCATGAATATAGAAAACTGGAGATACTCCTGGAAAGACAGAAATTGGTTGGCTGTTTCCAGAAGACTTACCTACACAGGTATAGTTGTTTGCTGCCAACTGAAAGCCAGGACTGCACTGGCAATAAAATGATCCTGGCGTGTTCACACATCTTTGGTGGCAATATGGAGGGATGGCGCATTCGTCTATATCTAGGTTATTAAGCACACATGCAAAGAGAACCAAATTACCGACTATCCAAATTAGTATTATTGATCTGTTTAATTTCAAGTTCTCAGCAGAACATTATCTAGAAAACCTGGAGACCTCATTTTAAAAGTAATTATTTTTCTTTTTAAAAAATTAGGGTATATGTGCTTTAAATAAAACTTTTGTATGCCCTCTGTAGCTAAATGAGATGTTAAGAACAAAGACTTCATAAACCTGGCTGGATGGGTTGAGATTTAAAGAGGGAAAAGTAATTAAAACTATTTCACATATAAGTGAGAATGTCAGGCTGGGAATATAAAAGCTTATTTATAATTTTAGAAGTAGAAAAGAACTATGGAAGAATTGAGATACAGTATAAAACTAAGAAAGGAGGCTGGTGCTCCGCTGGTGACCTTGGTGAAGTCACTCAAATGTTCAGTAGTTTGTTTTTTCTTCCATAAAATGTAGACAGTAAAGCTTACTATGTGTATCTCATGAAGTTTCTGTGAGAATCAAGTGAAAGAATGCTGTGGAAGGAATGGGATACTAAACAAGTTACTTTTTGAGAGTGCCTTTCTGATACACTGATCAAGTGTTCCAGCCTGTGTCCTTCTCATATAAATATTTCCAACTATAAAATGCTCAGTTGAGAACTTGCAGAATAGAATTAATATTTTAGAAACATAATAGAATTTCATTAATTCACAACTGTACACTTTGTGACAACTCAAATATGGCATGTGTAATTTAAAATAATAATTATATACTATCAATGCAATGATACTATCTTATGGGAAAACTGAAAATAAAACATAACTTTATGCTGAACTCTTCTGGTATTTTAATAACTATAAGTGTGGGAGGCAGTGTGCTCAAGTAGGTAGTATACCACAAGGTAACCTGAGTTTAAGTCTTTGTTCTGGCATTTACTAGCTTGGTCTTAACCTCTCAGAGTTTCCATTTCCTCTTTTGTGAGTAATAATACAACAATGTGGTAGGGTTGTTGGGGGGATAACATGAAATGATATAGGCAAACTTCCTTGCACAAAATAGGTAAAAACAAATGGAAGCTATTATGAATAAGCTGCAAATATATGTGATTTAACTTGAATATTAAATAAACAATAACAATGTTCACATAGCTTCCCTCCTAACTTATTTAGCTGTCTGATCAGATTTTATGTCAGGGAGGCCATTTCTGTCCATCCATATAAAATAACTTCTGCTCCATCTACCCCTAATCCTGCTTTATATTTCTTTGAAGCCAGTGACACTCCCTGCCATTGTGTTATGTGTTTATTTGCTTTTTGTCTGTCTTCCTCACTATAATGCATGGCAAATAAGATCCATTTTCTCCCCTTGAGGTAGAGATAAAGTATTTTTTGTCTGTTGTGTGCTTAATACCTAGAATAGGGTTTGGCACAGTAGGTGCTCAATAAACATTAGTTGAATGAATGGAAAGTTCATATTAATTAAGAGCAGCTGTGGCACAGTCCTTCTAGTACCTAGTATCATAGCCAGGTGACAATGTCAATAGCTAAGTTATGTAATTGGTACTTTCTAATAGCTCCATGAGGGCCGTGATTCTGTAAAATCTGTTTGTTTACCACAGTGGTCCAGCACCTAGCACACAGTAAGCCATCAATAAATATTTGATGAATAAATGGTGTATGTCTTTTCAACAAGTAAACATTCACTGAACCTTTGTTATTTGTTAGCATTGTGGTTGGCAATGTAGGTTTACACTGCTAAACATATGATGATAATCATATGTATATTCTACTCCATCTTGTATGGAAAACAGGCATGAAAACAAATTATTGCATGGAATTATAAGATCAAGAATAGAAAAGTGTACAAGAGATAAAGGGAGCACCATTCCACTCAAAGTGTGACTTGCTGACCACTGCTGGTCTATTTGGACCAGTCCACAATGAATAAGTATAGAAATTGGGAACATGTGTTTAGGAATAGCAATTTGGTGTTACTGCAACATTCTTATTGTACTCTACAGAACTATTCATCTATAGCAGGCTAGAAATTTACAAAAACAATCCACCAAAGTTTGAGAATTACTGGCATAGAGGAGGGAGTGACTATATTTGAGGAGATCATGGAATACTTCCCAGAGGAAGTGACCTTGACCTTGAATTTAAGATTTGAATAGGAGTTTGTCAGGAGTGCATGTCTCTGGTACTGAAAGCTTATACAGAGGTAGCAAAGAGTGACACTGTGTGATGTATTGGGGAACTATAACTCATGGGACAAAGCTAAAGTGTAATTGTTTTGGCAGGAGAAGGGTGTTGTTACAACAGAGTTGGGCAAGGATCAGATGGGTAAGACCTTATATGCTGTTGAGGAATGCAGTGTTAATTCTGGGGGTGAGGGGAACAGCAGGGAAGTCACATGATTAGATATGAATTTAAGGACATCTCCTACCATATCATAAAGAGCTCTAACCATATGTTCTATTTGCTTTGATTCTTCCTATAGTAGGCTGGGTTTGTTCTTCTTCTATACTTATTATACCCTCAGTTGGTTATTTTCCTGACTAATACAATGGGCAAAACTTTGGTGCCTATGAATTTTTCCAAACAATTTTCTCCTAAATCACAGCTTCAGTCACTGCAAATTCCTGGTCCTTCATCAGAGACTAGACACTAGCCCCAGCACCTAGCAGAGCCCCATGGCAGAGAGAGCAGGGCCAGGGCCTATGAGAGCTCAGAGTGGACACCCTGACACCAACAGCTCACATTCACTGGTGAAAATTGAATGTGGCGTTGCCTGACCCCAGAGATTTTTATCCTCTGTTCCTGAGAGAAAATAAGGATTCTTCACTGATCTAATGGTATGAGGAAGTATGTAAGTCAGTGGACAAAGGGAGTCAATTACAGAGTTTCATCCTAGTGCTGGGCCTCAAGATTGCACCCAGAACACTTTAGTTGACTTCTTATTTGCCAGCCTCCCCATATTGTGTTCTCTCAGTCATTCAATATGCATGCATTGAGCATCTACTTGGCTGGCAGACTTCAGGGACTGGGGAGACAACAATGACACAAACCAGACCTGGCTCCTGCCCTCAGAGAACTCAACTGGAGCTCTCAAGAAGGACTCACGTGTTGAGGTTCTAGTACTGGAGCCACTTGTAACATAAAGAATGTTTAGTACAAGTCTGTTAACTCATTACATAATGATGGCACACAACTATTCAACCCAGGACCAGGCACCATTCTAAGCACTCCTGCACATGAGCTCTTGAAATAGGGGCTGGTTTTATTTCCACAGTACAAAGGAAAGAAGTGAGACACAGAGGATTTAAGTAACTCAAAGTGAGTTAGGGATGGAGCTGGGATTTGAACCTTACTATTCGCTCTATAGAGCTTCCCACGTGACTCAGTGGTAAAGAATCCACCTGCCAATAAAGGAGATGCAAGAGATGCAGGTTCTATCCCTGGGTCGGGAAGATCCCCTGGAGTAGGAAATGGCAACCCGCTCCAGTATTCCTGCTTGGAAAATCCCATGGACAGAGAAGCCTGGTGGGCTACAGTTTGTGGGGCCACAAAGAGTTGGACATGACTGAGTGACGGGGCACACACACAGCACACACTTGCTCTGTGAGCTATGTTACACTAAAGCCTAGTGAACGAAGCCCATAGCATCAGTGTTTTAGAGCGAGGACACCAAATAACTAGTTTAAATGATTTTCCTCTTTGCTTTTGTGGTCTCACTCATACCCTAAGTTTCTGCTTTTGCTTAGTCTAAGATGTAACTGACACTTTGATATCCAGAATATGCTTAACCTATAAAGTTGTTTTTTTCTCGTTAATATGGAAAATGGGTTGGTAGTCAATGAAAGAATAAGCATTATCATTCTGCAAATAAAGATGAGTGCTTTGACTTGAAGGCCTGAGGGTTAAACATTTAAGATGCTCCAGACAGGACTTGGCTCACTGCACTGTTGTACTTACCTACACATTGCTCTCCTCGCTTCTGATACCCAGGAGGGCATTGACAGGTGAAGGAACCTCGTAAATTGATGCACACTTGATCGGCCCTACAGTTGTGTGTCCCTGCAGTGCATTCATCTATGTCTGATAAAGACAAGAGCACAGAAAGAGTTTGAGTTGACTGTGGAGATGTTGGTATTTCCTCCATCTTTTTTGACATACTTTTCTTAAAGAAACCAAGTTTTCACTCTATTCTTAAAACATTACTCTGTAATACTCTTTTATCGGAAATGCTTAAAATGATAAATTATTTCAAGTGTTCAGAAAGTAATTTCATAGATGCCACTGTATATCACTTATTAATAGATTTAACAAATACTACATTCTGCCATGCATGCCTTAGTTCACTTTGTTTTGTTAAGAAATGAAACACTGGAGGTGTAACCAAAGCTTTAGTCTATTCTCATCCCTTTATCCACCCACCTACTACCATCCTGGTAAGTGTGAATCCTTCGTTGAGATTTTTTTTTTTATACTTTCATTGAACATATATGCACCCATTAGCATATATGGTATTGTTTTGGGTGTTTTGAAATGTTAAATTGTGTGATACTTGCTTTTTTTTATATTATATTATTATAATATAATAATATATTTAATAATATATATTGTATATATTAATATATAATATAATTTGACATATATAATATAATATATAATAATAAAAATAAAATAATAATAAAATATTCTAATTATTTCTAAAAATTATTAGACCAGTCTCTAAAAGTCTGCCTAATACCTTGGTAAAAATCAAGCTTTAATATTATGCATTGCTTGTTGCTGTTTTTTTTTGGTGTGTGTCAACTTTAGCATAACATGGATGAATAAACTTTTCATTGCAGAGTTCAAAATAAAAGGGATTAAATTTAATCATATTCCTCTA